TATACATTTCCACGTGGTCCCCACTTTTGCATAATTACCCCCCAAATAGCTCCGAGGTCACCCCAATCAAGCTATCGCGTCTCTTCATCAGTTAACACACGATTAAGCAAGCGAATTCGTTCGCGTAACGAATACTAAACGAATAAGTACTCATTATTTTGGGGAAGGCCTTTAAATGGATAGCCAAAATGGCGGCTAGTTCTTTTGTGATATTTTATTTACATACTTGTCTATGAAGCCGTGTGACAGTGGTTCAGGCAGTACTCTGCCTGTAAAACACTCATAGGATCACCCACATTCTTCCTGTAGATATCGACCAAGGTACGGGACTATTAAAAATATGCTAACATTAGGCATCCCATCAACCCATCTGGCTAGCATGAAGAGTGTAAGGCCGAATCTTTCATTATACATATTATATTGGCCTATGCTAAATTAAGGATTTGGTAAAAAGAGAGTGCCGTTCTTGCAGTAGAAACTAGTACCCTGATGGTGATGATTTGTGAATCTTTAGGATGCAAATTATATTGTTTAATAATCATATTACAAAATCATCTTAAAATACCTAGTAGTCTTTGAAACTACGTAAATGGTAATTAGTTTCAGCACTAAGTTTAGGTTGAAATAAGAAGATAAATAAGAAAATAACACCTGAAATTGAGTGACGTCGTAGCTACACTGTTCTGCTTTCTTGTTTGCCCATTATTCAGAACATTAATAAGCAGAACAAACTTTATAATTAACAGTTAATTTATTATGAAAATAGGAAACTAACAAATGACCATTTATGGAAAATTTAATTTATCGCCATTGATATAAATCCATAAATTGCATTTATCGGAATTTTTAATAGAAATAACTGGGCAAATGCATTTACACTTCCGCGATAGTTAATGGTGATTGTTAGGGTAAATACAATTATTTAAATTACTATCAGGTTATTTACGTAAGTAAATAAGTAGAATATGTTTATACGTTATTTATTTGTTAGTCAAACAATACATTAATATCCGTCTTGTTTAATTTTATAGTGAATCCTAACGGTTAAATAAGTTAATGTTCTTTGCTCATGCTTCCCGCTTATGAGCAAAAGAAGTATCCATCTCGGGCGACACATCATGCACCCGGATGAGATAGCAGATATCACGCTCCAAAGAATCTGGAAATTTATAGACTCAACGGGACTAAGCAGTGAACTTTAAAGACAAGGGCTGCCACAATAGATCAAACCTGGTCGAGTTGGCGCAAATAAAGGCCCAAAAACCAATAATAATAATAACGGTTAAATAAATAGAATTAGTACTCGTTATGTAGTTATATCTTACCCCAAGGTTGATTAGTAGAAAATCTGTAAGGCTAAAATTCTGAAAATTATTTTCAGTGTGCAATAAAGTTTTAATAAATAAATTAATTCAATAAACTTACCTGGGATACAAAACTCAAGATTCTGAAATCAGTGTGCTTACCATGAGTTTATGTTAGGTGTGCTCGCTAACGACTGCGTAAAAAATGACATTTTAATGTATGACATATTGTGCAGCGCCCCTAGCGGCTACTTTCAAGAAATAAAATCTTCATAAATTTTTTTGACGTACTCGCTAGCGAGCACACCTAACGTAAACTCATGGTAAGCACACTGTGCTCAGGGGCGCTGCACAATATGTCATAGGTACATTGAATGTCATTTGTTAACGCAGTCCATAGCGAGTACACCTAACGTAAACTCATGGTAAGCACACATCTTACCAGTGTAAACATAAGTTTGATCCGACTCACTCAGATCTGAGATGGAATTGTGTAAAGCAATCGTTATCATTTGACAGTTCATAACGTACATTTATTCTGTCAAACGCTTTGTTTAACTGACTTTATCGTTCGTTATGGACTGTCAAATGATTACGATTGCTTTACACAATTCCACCTCAGAACCATCATACCCATCTGGTCTCAAGCAATAGTTACTTGTCAGCTATATTTAGTTCGAGTCAAGTCTCAATTGACCATATTTTGACCTGTTTCAATTGTTCAATAAAGCAGTTACTACTCATAAAGCAATATTAATAGACATCACACTGACCCGGGATTATTTCATTAGAGCAATTTGCAAATAAAACCATACAGGAGTATGGTTGAGTAGACTTTATTCTTACGAATCTTGCAATAAGGGTAGGTACTAGGTATTTTAAATTTTTGCGAGTAAAATAGCTATTGATCGTTGATCATCATCAATTCAGCCACAAGACGTCCACTGCTGAACATAAGCCTCCCCCATGATGATCGATTTTTATATTTGTTTATATTCGTCAGATATTAATCGTTAGTTTTTGAGTTAAATGACGTCCACTGCTGGACAAAGGCGTCCCCCAAGAATTTATACTCGAGAAACTTTCTGCCCAAACGGCTCTACGAGCTATGTGCCCCACCCACTGCTACTTAAGTATGGCAGTTTTACGGGCTATCACTAAAACACTATGTAGAGCCTTGATTATTCGACCAAAGGACGTCCACTGCTGGGCTAAAGGCACCCCAAAAATATCAACAACGACCGGTCATGCGCTGCCTGTATTCAAATGCTTCGCGACGTTCACAAGTTCATCGGTACACCGAGTGGGATGCATGCTTTTGAATACTTAAAGCACATAAATCCAAATTTTGACCCTACTAATGATGTCATGTTCAGAAGCAGTGCAGGTAGACTTAGTCACCAAAGATATCTGACTTTAGTGTTAGCTAGTCTAACACTAAAGTCGCCTGTACATAGATATCAATTTGATCTTAGAAAATATAATAAAGCTATAATGACCTATAATTGGTATAAATATTCTACTGATTCCACTTGCATTATAATAAAACGGTCCTTATGACTATTATTCAGATTTATTACTTTAATTTTATATGCGTTTCCTTACATAGGCTTCATCACTCATCCTTGATGATGCCATCACGTTGGCAGAAATTTCATGTCCTCTTATTATGGTGTCAAAATTACTTTCAAGATTAGGATTTTTTATGCTCGATGAAATTTAAATGTAACCATCGTATTTAGGATAAATCAGTAGGCTCATCTTGAAATAACTTACCCACACTTGCCTCAGTTTCTGCTGCTAGTAAGATTAATATTTTGTTAAGCTTAGGCAGGATAGATTTTTAGGGAGTAGACTCCTCTCTTCTGAGGGGAAGCCCCACATAACCGACCGCCTTAACACAGCAACGTGTATGCAATTCAATGCATTTTTACTTCAGTTTTCTCTTGCACTCATAAAAATACTTAGCTTGGCAAAAAATAGTACCTAACTTACTCGTATATTATAATAATTATGCCTATTGAAAAACGACTCTACTGATATTCATTTCACTACGCCACACTCTTTATTTTACGGCCTAATATTAAATTATAATTTGGTCCCAATTTTTGTCTACTGTCAGCGTATTTTAAAATTTCTACCGCAGATGTGTAAAATAAAAAATACATTTGTGATAGCGTTAAATATCTCTGTGATGTCTAAAGCTTAGCGCTTTTAACAAAATACCATCTGATCGTAACATGTATTGTAATTGCGAGTAAAATTGTACATTTATTAAGGTGAGTATAGATTAGAGCATTTCTATGTATTGAAACTTTCTTGCGAATTATACAACACAGGCAGAATCTATGACGTTTGGTTCGTGACACTAGAACATTTCATAGAGCGCATACTCACCTTCTGTGTGCTTACCATGAGTTTACGTTAGGTGTGCTCGCTAGCGACTGCGTAAAAAAATGACTTTAATTGTATGACATATTGTGCAGCGCCCCTAGCGGCTACTTTCAAGAAACACTTAACGTAAGCGAGCTAGCGAGCTAGCTAGCTAGCGAGTACACTTAACGTAAACTCATGGTAGCAGGTGTACATAAAAAGTAGTAGGCTTTGACTAAGTGATAACTTCAGTTGTATTATAAAACGACAGCATGAAAACTACAGTATTTCTGCTTTCCTTTCAATCCTAAAACAGTTTATATCAATCACTTTTATGCAAATGGACGATCCATCCATACTCATCTTTTTACTGCTGTAAGCGTTAGGATCATTTTATTTTCTTAATTTCTTTATTCTAGTGTCAACGATATTGAGTCGTTTAGTTTTTGGTTGTTGTGTAATTAGGTTTCATTCTCTAAATTATACTTACGAAGTAGGGTATACTTACTCTTACTTACGAAGTACGTCCTTTATAATACTTACTTATCAACACCAATCTTACTCCAAAAAATTAGCTGAAGTTTGTCCCATTGCACCACCATCTTCTGGCCGAGGAATTCAGATGAGCGTTAGTAGATCATCATCATCATCATCATCTCAGCCATAGGACGTCCACTGCTGAACATAGGTCTCCCCCAATGCTTTCCATGTTGCTCAGTTGGTAGCGGCCTGCGTCCAGCGCCTTCCTGCTACCTTTACGATGTCATCGGACCACCTTGTGTGTGGACGCATTCGTAGATGCTGCTTCCTAATTGTCTATTTCATCTTTTCAGACAGTGCATCAAGCTTAGCACCTTAATACAGTGTTAATAAGTGCTATTTTGTATTAAAAATGTACAGTCCAATGTGCTTTTGAAAATAGAGTAGTGTTGGGTGAAATGTGTAATGTTTTACAATTAGATACCTCGTTTAGTTATGTTCATTGTAAGGTTTTTTACTTGAATGATGATTTCTATAACCCTTCCTTGTGTTGTGTCTTGTGATTACTTTCATTTGCTTTACGATATGAAATGTAAACAAAACTTTTCCATATTTCTATTATATTTGCTGTTATTTATTTTTATTTTTATGAGGATAAGTAACATATCGATACGTAGGTACGAGACAGTTTTATTGAAAAGTTTTGTTCACAAATCTTATAATTATCACAGTGGTAGGTAGGTTTCGATGAAAGGTTTTTCAAAAACCTAATGAAAATCTGGTTTATTTTTTAAAAACTGAATGATTTATTTTTACCAATGCGTTATAATATATATTCATTATTGAACAAATTACGTTACAAAATGTACACGTTCTCCTTAAACCGACAGGTAGCTACAATATTATTATTTCATACTTAACAATTTAAATGTCTACGTACATTATATGCAGTTAAGAGTAAGTATCTTAAAAATACATAATATCAATAATTTATACAACGTATGACGGAAAATCATTAGCTTTCGAACTACACGCTCCTCGTTATACGAAAACTTATCGATAAAAATTAAAAAATCTTAAACTATTACCAGAAAAAAGATTTTAATAAAATAAACCCGTTCGGGTGACAATTTTGATTCGTTTGGGAGGATTGTGTTTCTTGTTCACTTAAAACAAGCCCGATCTAATATTTACAACGCTTTTGATCCAATAAGTGTTAAAAACGAACGTCTTCAATATTTGGTTAGCCGAATTCTCGTTATAACTGTAAGTGCTACTAATAAGAGATCCATCGGTAACAGTTTATAAAAGCATCATAATTTTTTTGGTATAAATTGAATAAAAAAAACTAAAAAAATAGGTATCGATGATGCAAAGGCCACCAAATTGCTAACGCTGAGTGATGAAGCTGTTGAAGCTATGAGGAGTACAGTTGATAATCCCAAAGTGTAACCTTCCAAGACTAGAATAGGTTCGAAACGCCCAGAAGAACTGATCTCCAACGTGGCCTCATGGGTTAACAAGATATTTACAATGACAAATGAACCCGGGAAAGCGCGAATCGTCTCAGTCAAACTTGATAAACCAAGCTCCAGCTCTATAAGAAAAGTTTGGCATTTCAGATGAAGAAATACAATGCATTATCAAGGTAATATGCTGCACTAACATTATCTTACATTTACATCTATAAATGGACCATCCTTATATTTTTGTTCCTAAGAAATTGATCAACATATTATTTACAGTAAAAAATGGGACAACGTCAAACTTCAAACATTAACAACTTCATTACGAATTCTGATGGTTTCAAATCAAGTGGTGATACTGGTTGTAGATATTTTGAAAAGCATAGAATAGCTAGAATGTGTTTAATTAAAAAAGAGGTTTCTCTGCAATGATTTAAGTAAAAAAGTAGTAAAATTTTAAAATCAAAATGTAATTTTAACTCCTATCACACCTAACTCATCGCTTACGAATAATAATTGTATAATAACTATAATTGTTATGCCTACATTAGTTCCTTGACTCAGATTGTGCGATTTCTTTGTTTTATCGTTAACATTAACTTCCTTAATACCGATTATCATTAATGACACTACGTCAACAACATATAAGGTTACGTTAAATGAATCCACTACAATTCCATGTTGACATACAATAATGGGGTATTCAAAGGTATACTGTTTTACCATCTTAACTTCTTATAGACACCAATTACATATTAATTACTTAATACATTTATGTGCTGGGAAAGAGAGAGAAAGAAAGTTTCGTTGTGTCTCAAAGTACAGAAGAAACAAAACACATAGAAGAAGTCGCTTACCAATTAAATCAACAATAGAGATAGATATATACATATAGATAAAATTACGTTCAATTTTCACAACATAACGAGAATATTTTAACTTTTCAGTTCTGTGAATAAATCACTAATGTATCGTATTGAATCGCTTACATACTTACATTTACAATCGTATATGTATACATTACACATCTATATGGTTATATTTTGTCTGATGTTTTCACAGAAAATGTAAATCTACTGGATGGCAAGCGAGTTGACAAGCTTCCACGCGATCAATGAACAAATACAACAATTGTTATTTTTACATATAATTAATTATATATCCTACAACAACTAACTACGTCCTCTATGATAATTTATTCCGTTGAGACGTTTATTATATATAACTTCTAATTTTTTCTCACAGTATCGCTTTATTTTGACTCCATTATTATAAACAGTTTTATTACTTACATACATATCGTTAAATTTAATCTTAACTTCACGGATGAAGTTTACAGCTACGAGGAAGAAAATATTGTGATTGCAAAGGATCAGTTACAAGATGAAGGTTTGAAGGCAATCAGAGTAAATACCAGTGTTCATTACACTCTAATTACAAAAGAAAACATTTAACCCTGATAATTCCAAATATTGAAATACAACAAGAAGCGCTATATTACAACGTTATAAATTCGATGTTGCGTTCAATATAAATACTTTTGGGGTTATTGAAATCTCTAGTAATAAAATCTGTGACGGTGAACCATAAAATCTCAAACCAGATTGGGACGAAATTTTATGAGCTAGCACAAAAGATGTCGAAGAAGAACAACTGAAAACTGTCACGAGATTATTATCAGAGATGTTTTATACTAATTTGAGCTTCGCTGTTACCATATTGCTTTTAGTCGTTGGATCAAATCTATATTTAACAAGAGAACACTACTGAAGTAAACAGAAAAGAGTAATAGTTTGAACGCAAGCAGTTTCCGAAATACATTCAAATGAAATGCGGTACAAAACTTCGTAAGAACGCTTAGAACACACAAAACGCAAAAAGTGACATTTATTGTCAAAGTTTTAACTTATGGAGGGATATTTTACATAGGCATAGGATACGATCCAATGAAATGTATTTGTATGACGACATTAAATGGAACCTTTATCATACTGTAAGCTAGCAAAGTTAAATCAATGGCAAATGCAGTTACTGGCTTTAAGAAAATAAACTATGTTTTATTTTTACTTTCGTATTTTTTTTCTTCTAAGCAACAGCATCTAATAACGACTACATGCTTAAAAATACCTTGAGCATTACTAAAATATAAGTATAATGTATTATGAAGAATCCCAAATAGATTATTAGGCACAAATTTATTTCATTTCTTCACATCGTTACATATAAGTATATTATCATAATATTCTACAACACACGAGACAGTGTAACTTACAGATTTGCAATAATATAGATATTAACATGTAATTTTTGTTTTTTTTTTCACAATAGTTGGGTTTCCATAGACACTTACTAAGTAATACATGAACTTGTTTTTTACATATATATTTATAAGAATATAATAATATAGGTAAAGCATTTTCTTTCTTATCAAATAGAGCACAACGGATCCCTTAGATTAATTTTAATAATATTAGGGACACATGATATCTACAAATATTGATTTCACAATCTGAAATAGTATATTTAGTAGAAGGTATCTATCTTATAAATGAAAGAAGCAACGTTCAGGTGAACTTTACTCCATAACTGACACCAATTTCGGTAAATTGACAGAATATTAGCATTTTTACAATTTATCTTATGTGCTACTGTGAAAAGCAAAATTTGAAATGGACAGATTTCTTATTACGACAAGAAGTTTATATTTAATTCCGATAGCATAAGCTTGCAATATTAATTATTTACTTTTCCATGATATTCAGTTAATTTTAAAATATTTTTACAATTATTATTAAAGATCGAAACCCGCTTTTCACAGCAGCGCAAAGTATCAAAAATAGGTCCTTATTGATTTCACAATAATGTAATTATGCCCAGTTTTACAAATTAAAAAAGTTACAGAAGCTAGCGCTGCTAAAACTAATCTATGCGTTATCAGTCTCCACTAGAATCTTATAATTTAGAAAATCCGTAAAGTAAATCACAGTGTTTGAAATAGCAAAGAAATAGTGAAAACTAACGTTTGTTTGCCGATCCATATTTTTCCACCGTCCCACAGTACAACACATTCCCATATTGATATGTATGTTTCTATAGAACATTGTATTGAAAATTTAGCGTTAAGAAAAATAAAATAGTATTGAAGTGTCCCTTTGCATGATCCATAGGTGCCATCATATTTTACATATAAGTCCGTACCTTACCACAGTTATCCTTACTTTATCATCCTAACATACATTATAGCAAGACATCCAACACTGAATATGTATCCCTACTATGACATTTATATGCATAATAACATGAACAAGAGGCGCATACATCAAGACGGAAGATAGAAGGGCAAGATTATGCGTACTCGTTCAATTCCAATTCAAACATGGTAAGGATTCTCTTCAACCCATCAAACATCGAATACCTTCTCGAAAAATCCGCTCCGAAATTTATCCATGGCAAACCGAGTTGCTTCAAATAGTAAAAGTAAATCGTCGACTATCAACTACGTGTGCATCAAAGTATATGTGAACTTACGTAGACAACGCAAGATGACTATAACCTAGTCTTATTTTTCTATTACGAATACATATTTCATCTAATAGTCCAAAAGTAAATGGTCACGCTTAAAAGTACGAATCAAAACATAAATGGTGTGTCAAAGAAATTGCAAACTTACTATTTGTAACGTACTAGAAGCCAAGTCAATAATACGAAACGGACGCGACGCGGTGCGGCGAGCGACAGAGACCCCAACACAACTTCACCTTCATTTGGCATTCAAGATCCTCGATTTTATTATATACATGTCTGATCGAGTGAAATCGAAGACGAACAATCCAACGCCGATCCCTAACTGACCCGTGACTTATTAAACAGGCGACGGAGTGTAGACGGATTTATTTACTGTCAGAGACGTGCCGTTTGGATAACACCCACAATTTACAAAAAAGTAATTTTCAATTAAAGCAACACCACAAAAGAACCGACTCACAGCCTTTACTTTGAAACTGATGCACTTCCAAACGTTGAAGCGTGTCGCCTATTAAAACTAAAATTAAGAACCTGAACTGAAGGAGAATCGGCCTCGCGGCCGGACAATAAACATAATTATCTCCCTCGACCCTTATTAAATAACTTTGTACATTGAATCCAAATGTCGACACATCATTTTGGATGTAGGCACTCTCTAGGCGGGGCGGCGGACGGGCGCCGCGTGGCGTGGCCTCCAGGTGGCGGCTCTCGGCCGACCGTATGAGATCAGTGGAACAGGCCGGCAGCGGCCGTGGCGACCCGAACACCGCTCTAAGACGACGTTAGGTACGAGGAGAAGGTGTTGTCCACCCAGTCTCCGTGGACGCCGATCTCGCTGAGCATGTCCGACACGTCGGGCGTGCAAGAGAACTCGAAGTGGGAGCCGGAGGAGGAGGACGCGGTCTCGAAGGACTCCATGTCGGTCGTCAGGGCGTCGAGGTCCACCTCGCAGTCCGCCGGCAGAGGGAGCAGGTCGGTGATGGAGTAGAGATCCGTCAAATCCGATTGGTCACGACGCGTGCTGTCTTCGTAGAGACACGCGGATTCAGGGGAGTCGGGAGAGCCGGCAGGGGATGCTGGCAAGGGTGGAGGAGCTGGTGTCTCCACCGGGACGCTGGGGACGGTTGGCGCAGGCCGCGCTCGCCGTCTCGACATGCCCCTGTTGTTATTCGAGTCCGCCTTCTGCTTGCGTTTTTGTTTCGTGACCGCGCCCGTCCTGGTGGCAGGCTTCGCGGTCTTCTTGCGAGGCCTGTACTTGTAGTCGGGGTACTCGCGCATGTGTAGCTGCCTGAGCCTCTCTGCCTCGTCGATGAAGGGCTGGCGCTCCTCATCGTTGAGGGTCTTCCACACGCGGCCCAAGTTCTTTGAGATTTCCGCGTTGTGCATGTCAGGCGTCTGCTCGCATATTTTCCTGCGCTCGATCTGCGACCACACCATAAACGCGTTCATTGGCCTCTTGATGTGGTTTGGATTGTTCTTCTTAGTCTGTAACAAATGAAAAAGGAACATTATAGCATTTATAATCGACTAAACTATTGGACGGGCTATAAAATAGATTTATGTTTCAGACAGAAATCAGTGTTATCTGTATAATTGTGGGAGCATTATTATTTCAGACATGTCCGCGGTGCCGCGGGCAGAAAGAGCTGGTTTTATTGAATTAGTATGCATGACATTGCACCATTAAGTCTGCGGCCTTACTATTAATGATATTGTTATCATAGAAATTATTATAACAAACAGGTCAAATTGTATGTATTGAAACAGTTTAGTAGTGGAAAATTTTGTGCGTAGGTTGGATTGGTTATGTAAGATGTTAATTGGTTCTAGTTAAGTGTTACGCGCGACCGATTTTTTCTGTAAGTGATTGAGTGGATATGCTTCTTAAGTTACTTTTTCAGTAAAGGGTTATAGTTGTGGCTTCCGTGTCTCGGCCACATGTAAAACATTGACAAACGAGGATGTCAAAGGACACGGGAAGTCATTATCAAATCATGTAGGAAGCGTTGGAGGACTATTAGGTCTATACTTGGACAAGGGTCATTTTCCTTAAGTCGAAACGTGGAGTGGTAGATAAATATTAGTTAAGTACACTATTAGATAATTATACTTCAGTACAGGTCTATAATTATACAACAAAAACTATTAGATTTTAAATTACAATCACCATACAGGAAAAATCCACCATTTCTAGCTCCCCTGAATATAAAAACAACATGTGGTAAGAACACACCCGAAAATTCTCTTTTATTATTCAAATCTTACTTTCACTAAAATCTGTACGGGCGGTCCCGGTGGAAACTGCAAAAAACCACGCTAACTTTATACTTTTTTGGGGTCTATGGCGGAATGAATAAACTGGCCAGTGTACACAACTTTTTAAAGAAGAAAAGTTTGACGTTACATTCGAATTTTAAAATCATGCACTAGAACCACTGCGTGATTGCGTTTACCTTTTCATGGTTATACTTTTTTTAGAAAACCATAGGGTTTAGTAATTAAAAATAACCAGAATCACTCTTTTTCCCAAGCATACGAGTCCAAAAAATACAGCCTGTATGATCAGTAATAGAGGCAAAAGTTCAGGATGTACCATAAATTCAACTTTCCTATAGTTAACTCTGACTAAATGTACATAGATCTAAAGATTTATTTTAAAATCCAACGGATTTTTATCAGCTGCCGATAACGTGACCAACATAATAATTATGAGACGAAACTGGACGAAACCCAGCGTAAATATGCCTTGTCAGTGTTGTCCCTTTTTTGTTCGTCTTATTTATATTCAGGACAAAAAAAGGGTTTGTCAGATGGCAACTAAATCAAGTTCGGAACGCCCACACGGGCTCAAGGTGAACTTCGTAGAGGTAGGCAATAGGCCGGGAGGCAGAGACAGAATATCAGTACGATTTTGATATACAATTTCTATTTAAAAACTAAAATTTTAGGAAAAAAGTGATAAAATATGTTTATTTGGTATACAATATCAACATTATGCTTTTAAACCTTGTAAAAATTATTATTAATAAACGATGGATAATGTCAACTGTTATTGGTTGAGCAACTTTTCTTTTCAAAATATAGTTTTTCATTTTATTTAACATATTCACTGCTGTCAATATGATAAGGATTAATGAGTGATATGCCTTAAGGTTCAAAGGTTTCGTATTCATTAAGGGCCAAGGAATAGAATTTATTATCATTGAACATTTCCACAAGATGACAGCAAGCATAATACAAAATATGTAATTATCATAAATATTGTACTTACAAAAATAAATAACTAAATCTTATAGTTAACCACTGACAGTAATAATTGTATTTTTTACTGTACGGTTTAGCTAAGAACTTGGAAAAATGATATTTGTATAACTAAAAAAGTACAAGCTCAAATAAAAAGTCTTTCGCCCGGACTATGAGAGGTAGGGAGTTTTTTGCATCCACGTATCCAGACGATATTATTATACAGTTTTTGTTGGAGCAATTTAGTTTGGACTAGATTCAAGTCTGGTTTCGATATAATTTATCACAGTTGCAGTTTCGTGACTGAAATATTCTGTCGCAGTGTCGATGACAGCAAAGGCACCTTCTTTATTTGTACTCAGGCGTCACTAAAGTTGTGTTAATTTATCAAAACATGTTAAATGTCATTTTGACATTATATTGACACATGTTTGTGATGAAAGCTTAGCGTAGTACGAGTTTTGCATTGAATATTTTCGATTTCACAACACATTATTGTAGCTTGTCTTCTTCATTCAACAGATCAACGAAACTCCCAAGGTATTTTTATGAATGCTGACATTAAAGGTGAGTTGTCTGTAAATAAACAAAATTTACAACAGTCAGGACACAAACAAAACAAAATTAATATTCCATTAGTATTTGAAGTTAATACACAATGAATTCGTATTGCTCAAAACGAAAAATATGAACATTTTCAAGTGTCTATAAACCAAGGAATCCAAAGGGCTGGGTAAATAGTATAAAAGAGATAAAGGGAGGGAAATAAGTCAAGCAAAGTCGCAATAAAACGCAGTCGCACGTGAACGCAGGTGTAATATTCTGCCGTCTCTATTACGTATACCGATTGTTGTTAAAGCGTGAAAAGGACAAGCTAATACTGCTGTTGAAATCGCTTTCATCCCCAGAGGATTTAAAAAGCCACATCGAAAACAGGTTATTTTAAAATAATATGAAAGAGTTGAGACTACTACAATAAAATATCTGGTATGATGCTAAGTGTAAGGATCCTTATAGAATTTAGTTCCTATTTAGATGGCAATTCAACAGCATCTGGTCGCTATCAAAGTCCGTTACAAACCCAACCGGAGTATCACGCCACATATTTATAGGAATTGGCATACCCTTTGTCGCAGCCATAGAGCTCAATGGTTGCTATTATTGCTTGTGCAATACTTTTCAAAGAAATTGCTACTGTAAGTACGAATAACATTTAACGATAACTGCATGTAAAATCTATTGGTACAGCTTGTAGTTGTTTCGTAAATATGATAGAATTAATGTTTCCGTAATTTGAGGGCTTCCTGGTGTTTAGAAATTTATGGACTGCTCAAATGCCTGTCTGTTACGAAGTTTTGATGCATTCTACAAAAAATGTAATCCCTTATAGAATATAATACGAAACTGTTGCTTTATCCACCAGCTATGAAATGTATTTTTAAAAGCACTTCATAAAATGTTAACTGGTTTTGATATTGACTTCAACAATTTTTAGATGCTCCAAAATACCCAAACTCCTTAATCTTTCTTAGAACACAATCTAGTTTACGATTTCCAAATTAATTTTTAATCTCGCTCACCGTAAAGATACTAAAAGAGTCATAAAAGCTGAGTAATTTCGCTGTTCTGATCGCTTAAAAAGCTATCAAACGGTGGTACAGTATCTGTATAAGCAGCTAGGAAACGAAGTGGATGCCCTTGTAGACCCGGCGGAATAGCGGCGTTGGCTACGCATAGATCATAATAAGCATACCACAGAATAACTAACACAGCCAGAACGTTAACGGCCGTTTTCACAAACATTACTATAAGGTCTCATAGTGCGCGTGGACGCACAGGGTGACACACGAACCAATCACAGAGCGCTATTCAACGCTGTGTGTTCAATTTGCTGCTTCTTTAAGCAAGCATCGTTTGTGAATACGGGCATAAGTTTTTTGAGTAGATAATCGGCTGATTCTCTGTTGTTGTTGTTGTAACAGTTGATGATTAGAAGGAAGTACCGATAGATTGTAGTGACTGAGTTTGTTGTGGCGCTTTTTTAGCACTTGCCAAATATTTCTGGAAGCGCTGGTAGAGAAAAAAATAAGTGACTATATGTTAAGGCTCCAAAGAGCAAAATAATTCTAAATCCACACAATTGATTTTATTGTGCTATGATAAATTTTCAAATTCAAAAGCCTCGACACTTTGTTCTAATACCCATATCAAGAACTGTAAATGGATTTCAAACGACCACTTATCTAATTGCCGTGGCCGTTCTGAACCAGCTGTGCACAAACAGTACCTTAAATGGAAGGCTGGCAAAACACCATACACCGCGTTCTGGGCACGTATCGTGAACACGTGCAGGCCATTGCTGAGAAATCAGACATTTTAAATCCTTTTACGATATATTTATGCGTCTGTTTAGTTTAACTTTGACATTAATACAGTCTAGACTTCCTATATACCATCTTGGTTTGTTTTAGTTAGGTTTCTGTTTATTTTATTGAGTATTAAATTGCGCCAAATGTCTTCCTTGTTTCATGTGTTACAACACTAGCAATTGGAGGTTTATGTATTTGCATGTATTAAACATTATCTGTTTAAGGCATTGCTTCGTAATTTATCGTCTGTATACATAATAACATAATTGTTTGAGTTGCATTGTATTTAAATTATTAGAAAAGTTTATTCTGTGTATAACTGCATAGTACTAGCTTGAACAGAATTTTAAACAAAGATTTAAACATTGTTGCGTGCTTATAAATCACTGCACTTATCAATTTGAAGATGTCTTAAGTAGTCATCAACATCGCCTATATTTTATACTTTCCGTATCTTCCGCACTTTTTATTAATTTATCCTTTACTAAGTCGCAGTATCAAGCAATCTTCACATTCATTCCTTGGGAGTTGTATCAGAATCTGTGATTGCCCTCATTAATTATTTCTTAGTTTTATGGCCGGGGCAGTTGCCCTCTCCATACAATCTGGGACACTCGATGCTGTGGTAAATAAGTAAAGTAGGTCTGTATGTGAATCAAAGGTTTTATCTAAACATTTGTTAGTATTGCACAATACTTGGCTTGTTATAGTAGTAAATAAAATAATAAATAATAGTGATATTGATTCAATCATAGAAAAAATATTACCGATCAAGCCACTCTTTACAGATTCATCAGTTTACTACTTCATATTTTAATAACAACGCAGCTTCAAAATAGTTTTAGTGAACTTAGGTCCAGAGGGCACAATATC